ATGGTGTATATACAGACTCCGCAGACACCAGTCGGTTTTGGTGACCTTGACCCCATTTTCAATGTCACAGCAGGCAAATCTGCTTTTGGAGTTGGAAAACGGTGTTGCAGCGATATCTCAAGAACTAAACACTGGATTGTCTTCATATTTGGAACTATGGTGTATATACAGACTCCGCAGACACCAGTCGGTTTTATTGACCTTGATCCCATTTTCAAGGTCACAGCAGGCAAATCTGCTTTTGGAGTTGGAAAACGGTGTTGCAGCGATATCTCAAGAACTAAACACTGGATTGTCTTCATATTTGGAACTATGGTGTATATACAGACACCGCAGACACCAGTCGGTTTTGGTGACCTTGACCCCATTTTCAAGGTCACAGCAGGCAAATCTGCTTTTGGAGTTGGAAAACGGTGTTGCAGCGATATCTCAAGAACTAAACACTGGATTGTCTTCATATTTGGAACTATGGTGTATATACAGACTCCGCAGACACCAGTCGGTTTTGCAGACCTTGATCCCATTTTCAAGGTCACAGCAGGCAAATCTGCTTTTGGAGTTGGAAAACGGTGTTGCAGCAATATCTCAAGAACTAAACACTGGATTGTCTTCATATTTGGAACTATGGTGTATATACAGACACCGCAGACACCAGTCGGTTTTGGTGACCTTGACCCCATTTTCAAGGTCACAGCAGGCAAATCTGCTTTTGGAGTTGGAAAACGGTGTTGCCGCGATATCTCAAGAACTAAACACTGGATTGTCTTCATATTTGGAACTATGGTGTATATACAGACTCCGCAGACACCAGTCGGTTTTGGTGACCTTCATCCCATTTTCAAGGTCACAGCAGGCAAATCTGCTTTTGGAGTTGGAAAACGGTGTTGCCGCGATATCTCAAGAACTAAACACTGGATTGTCTTCATATTTGGAACTATGGTGTATATACAGACTCCGCAGACACCAGTCGGTTTTGGTGACCTTGACCCCATTTTCAAGGTCACAGCAGGCAAATCTGCTTTTGGAGTTAGAAAACGGTGTTGCCGCGATATCTCAAGAACTAAACACTGGATTGTCTTCATATTTGGAACTATGGTGTATATACAGACACCACATACACCAGTCGGTTTTGGTGACCTTGACCCCATTTTCAAGGTCACAGCAGGCAAATCTGTTTTTGGAGTTGGAAAACGGTGTTGCCACAATATCTCAAGAACTAATCGCTGGATTGTCTTCATATTTAGTACTATGGTGTATATACAGGCGGGGGACATTTCGTCACTTTGTGACAAATACTTGTTCTAATCCTAATTACAACAGTGAATAACATGTGCCCAGTCATTTAAGGCTCCACAAGTCTCTGAGTAGAGTTACTTCCCTTAGGTGTGCCATGATCCTATGATACTGAGTTTGGATCACAGATATACCCTCATAAGGATCAGTGGTTTAGTACACCAATTCATGATGGTTTTACCAAAATGGTAAATGTTTGAGACCTGCACCACTTCATGAGGGTTTTACCAAAATGGTAAATGTTTGAGACCTGCACCACTTCATGAGGGTTTTACCAAAATGGTAAATGTTTGAGACCTGCACCACTTCATGAGGGTTTTACCAAAATGGTAAATGTTTGAAACCTGCACCACGTCATGAGGGTTTTACCAAAATGGTAAATATTTGAGACCTGCACCACATGGGCTTCTTTCCCATATCAAGCAGACAAACTATGAAATTATTGAAATACCGTTCAATGTAAAGTAAACTCACAGAGCTCTAGAAAACCTTTTGGTTATTTGGCTATTTTACCCAGGGATTGATTTTTATTGGGTATCCACAAGTGTTAGAGGGTATTCGAAAAAAAAGTTCTACCCACCTGTTTGCTGACATTTGGGTATTTAACTTAAAACCTGTTTCATACAATCCCTGTAAATCATTTAAAACTATGTAAATAGTAGAAGTTATGTAAATAGAAGTAAACCCGACTGTATCTGCTTGCAGCTCCTTCTTATGGAAGCCATTTTTTGTTTACAAAACCTAGCATCGTGAGAAAGGCACTATTGTTTTAATTACCAATCAGCGACTAATTAAGATACAACATGTACATTGACTAGGCACGATGTGATTTTCAATTGGCATCTCTCAGTATGTTTGTCGCTGAAGCTTATTCGAATGTAACTGTCAGTGAGTGAATTTGGCGATCGGCTGAAACAAGCATTTTGTCTAACAGTTGTAATATACGCAATCATTTTATCTAATAGTTATAATATACACATTAATTTTATTTCAAGTGTATTCATAGTTTTTGTTGCGTATTTGATACGCTAGGATGTGATTTGTCTGCGTATATTAGTTTAATTAATGCGTATTTTACGCAAATACGCAGCTTATCTTGAGCTCTGAACTCACTTACCCATGTGCTGTATTTTGTGTCAGTCTGGTGCTGTTCTAATTCTGCTTGTTGACGCAGAACAAGACCTCTCACACATGAACAAACAGGGGGAGCATCACCACTCACACATGAACATACAGGGGGAGCATCACCTCTCACACATGAACAAACAGGGGGCGCATCACCACTCACACATGAACAAACAGGGGGCGCATCACCACTCACACATGAACATACAGGGGGAGCATCACCTCTCACACATGAACATACAGGGGGATCATCATCTCTCACACCTGCCCCGTGAACATACAGGGGGATCATCACCTCTCACACTTGCCCCGTGAAAATACAAGGGGAGCATCATCTCTCACACCTGCCCCGTGAACAAACAGGGGGAGCATCATCTCTCACACCTGCCCCGTGAACAAACAGGGAGATCATCATCTCTCACACCTGCCCCGTGAACATACAGGGGGATCATCATCTCTCACACTTGCCCCGTGAACATACAGGGGGATCATCATCTCTCACACCTGCCCCGTGAACATACAGGGGGATCATCATCTCTCACACCTGCCCCGTGAACAAACAGGGGGAGCATCACCTCTCACACATGAACAAACAGGGGGATCATCACCTCTCACACCTGCCCCGTGAACATACAGGGGGAGCATCACCTCTCACACTTGCCCCATGAACATACAGGGAGATCATCATCTCTCACACTTGCCCCGTGAACATACAGGGGGAGCATCACCTCTCACACTTGCCCCGTGAACATACAGGGAGATCATCATCTCTCACACTTGCCCCGTGAACATACAGGGGTATCATCATCTCTCACACCTGCCCCGTGAACATACAGGGGGATCATCATCTCTCACACCTGCCCCGTGAACATACAGGGGGATCATCATCTCTCACACCTGCCCCGTGAACATACAGGGGGATCATCATCTCTCACACCTGCCCCGTGAACATACAGGGGGATCATCATCTCTCACACTTGCCCCGTGAACATACAGGGGGATCATCATCTCTCACACCTGCCTCGTGAACATACAGGGAGATCATCATCTCTCACACCTGCCCCGTGAACATACAGGGGGATCATCATCTCTCACACTTGCCCCGTGAACATACAGGGGGATCATCACCTCTCACACTTGCCCCGTGAACATACAGGGGGAGCATCATCTCTCACACTTGCCCCGTGAACATACAGGGGGATCATCATCTCTCACACCTGCCCCGTGAACATACAGGGGGATCATCATCTCTCACACCTGCCCCGTGAACATACAGGGGTATCATCATCTCTCACACCATGCACAAATAGCCATCCCATGTAGGACTTGGGAAGTGTGTGTTTGTGTTTTTTTCTTGAACACCTCACTCAACAATATTCCATGTGTAAAAAATCAGGATCAGACAACCAAGTGATTGATAAGAGGAATAATCCCGGACATCGGGGTACATTGACCCACCATTAAGTCACAGAGTCAGACCACCCATTAAGTTGTGATCAGCATAGATTTTCTAGGGAGCAATTCTAACCCTGAATCCCCATGGCCAATGTAGTCCACTCTTACGACAAGCAATGAGGTGCTGGGACACGTTCTACATATGAAGCAGAGGTCCAGCTGGGCAACGATTCTACTCACTGTAATAAGTCCACTGTGTCTCAGAGGGCTGAAGAAAGGTCAGAGTATTCATTGAGTACTTCACACATAATCATGTGGTCGGTAGGTTGAAAAAAACATGATGAAGACAATCAACATTATTTTATTGGTTCTTCAAAAAGTGTTGCTCTTTCTGCAGTGACAGCGTCTCACATCTTTTGACCTATCAAGACCTAACACTTTAACTTACTGTCTATTAGCAGGGATTTCTTATGATTATGGACATGTTTTTGTCACCTTTAGTTACACTGTAACCTGTTGCAAGCACATTTAGTTGTAAATACATATACCGTATTCAACATAATAAGCGCCCAGGGCGCTCTCAAAATTAGAAATAGGGGGCTCTTATTAGAATATTGTTTTGGTGAAAAAAAACAGAGTTGAAAGATAAATTTCATGTTTATGCTGACAGCCTGAAATGTTTATGTCGACATTGTATATTTTTCCAGAATTTTATTGCCCATAATTAAGGGTGCATTTAGAACACGAGTGCGTATTATACACGAATAAATTAGTCTTGTGTACATTGATCAATCGGAAGGGGTGCTAATTGGGATTGTTCACCAGCCAATATATCAGCAAATGTCACCGTGGGCGCTTATTAGAGCAGGGCGCTTATTATGTCGAATATGGTATGCATGTATGAGAACTCAAAAACTACTTTTTGGCCTTACCTGCTGGTTTGCTGGTGTAGACTATTACATTCAACCTGCCATGGTAAAGCTGACTGCTGTGTAACCTGCTTCAGGTTTGCTGGTGTAGACTATTATATTCAGCCTGTCATGGTAAAGCTGACTGCTATGTCACCTGCTTCAGGTTTGCTGGTGTAGACTATTATATTCAGGCTGCCATGGTAAAGCTGACTGCTGTGTAACCTTTGCTCAAAGAGTCCAACACACCAGAAATCATTTAATGTTGTTTCTTTTCAGAGCGACCTTGTGTACGCTCACTATGGCCGCAGAGAAGATTTTCAGAAATTAAGGGATCTGAAGGTCAATATAACTGGTTGTATTCTTCTCATCCGCTACGGGAGAATTCACCCTGCAAACAAGGTAAGAGTGCTGTCGCTGTGGGGATTGTAGAGTGAGGTATACTGTAAGAGACATTGTCAAATTCACTCAGTTTTGCATCTCAACCTTTGGTAAACAGGAAAAATAATTGTAGGAATTAATAAATCTAGGGCTGGGACAGGTAACTCGGATACTTGGGTTGGGTGGGTATTGAGTTGGACCTTGGTACCCACAGGACTACCCGGACCCATGGTTATCACATGATATTTTGTTTACTGAGGATAATATATTTCATATATTTTCATATATTTGAGTAAAGATAAAACTTGTGTCAACTTCAGTGTATGCATGATCAGATCGTTTTATTCGTCTATCTATGTAGTTTTTGCCAGGGCCTTGGTAAAACATTTCTCAATCGGACATTTTATACCCAACTTGTGACCTACAGCGGGTAAAGGTCGGAGAATAGGGGGTGGGTCCCCGAGTAGTCAATTTGGACTCGTCTCAGCCCTAGTAGGAATGATACCAACAACCTCAGCCCCTGCAAACCTCTTTTCCAAACAAATTCTTCTCAGACCAAAATAAATGCATGCCTTTTCAAATTTACATTATTGACCTACAAAAGAATTATTCTTATTTTGACCAACCCAATTGAAATAGTCGGCAATAATCTGTTACAAGGCCGTAGTTAAGTTTTTTGACAGGGGGGGCAAATATTTGTACCCAACTTGTATTTTCATGATTCAAATAAAACTGTTTTCTATAAATAAAAAAACCCCTCCCCCCTGCCCCCCCCGGCTGGCTACGGCACTGCGTTATCCATAAAACATGATACATACATGTACCTGATGATGCAGGTGAAGCACGCGGAGGAGAACGGTGCAAGTGGGGTGGTGTTCTACAGTGACCCCCAGGACTTCTCAGACCCCCACGCTGAAGTGGGCAGCTTCTACTATCTCCGGAGCTGGGCCATCCAGTTGGCACAGGTCCGCTACGCCCTGACCGGTGACCCAACAACGCCACAGTACTCATCCATGGGTTCGGACATTTTGAATTCTTCTATTACATCAGTGCCCGAACTTCTGTATTTTGGCTGATATTGCGCTAAAAACTCTGAAGATTGTCAACAGAAGTCCTCTTAACTGTGAACTATCTATAACCAGTTGAGATACTAATGGTATCACGCTGTAGTGAAATTTAGAATTTCAAGTTTCATTATATACAGAAAACTAGATTGTATATATGACGGTGAAAATATGAAAAGTACTGCACTTTTCCAGTGTTTCAAATACCCACCTGCTCGATGTCTGTTTTACTGACCAATGGTCAAATTTGAAACATTACAGCCCTGATGGTCAGGGTTAAAGTTACTAAGTTGCGATCAACCCAAACTGACTGGTTAGCAAAGTAAACCATTAACTGAAGCATGTGTGGGCGAGTATCTGCCAGTACCAGTGCTAAAGTCCAGAGGCTTGTTCCACAGGCCTGGATTTGATCTCCACTGCCAATTACTCCATGGCCTTAAGCCTGGCTATTCCTGTGTGTTGCTTGAAGTGCTGTAAAATCTTCCCCGCCCACAAACCTGGGAGATCAACCAGTACATGTGAGATTGGCAGGACTTGGCATGCTGTGCCTGACACAGACACATGTACATGATGATGACACCTCTGTTGCAGATGGAGTTCCCCGCGTCACCAACAGCACCGCCAAGTTCCCTGACATCCCTGTGCTGCCCATCAGCTATGCAGATGCCGAGGACTTGCTGAAGTGAGTTGATTACCCTATTTGCCGTATGAACAACACACTGCTGCCTGCCCCTCCCTTAAACCCCTTGTTGCACCTGAAGCTTGCCTGTACATCACGCTAATCACATGGTTCAGGCCACTCCTGTATCGATATAATGTGCAAACTGATGGAGGTAGAACAGCTGCACCTGTACCGATTGATGTACAAACTGATGGAGGTAGAAACAGCTGCACCTGTACCGATTGATGTACAAACTGATGGAGGTAGAAACAGCTGCACCGGTACCGATATAGTGTACAAACTGATGGAGGTAGAAACAGCTGCACCTGTACCGATATAGTTTTCAAACTGATGGAGGTAGATATAGCTGCACCTGTTCCGGTATAGTTTTCAAACTGATGGAGGTAGATATAGCTGCACCTGTTCCGGTATAGTTTTCAAACTGATGGAGGTAGAAACAGCTGCACCTGTACCGATATAGTTTTCAAACTGATGGAGGTAGAAACAGCTGCACCTGTACCGATGTAGTGTTCAAACTGATGGAGGTAGAAACAGCTGCACCTGTACCAATGTAGTGTTCAAACTGCTGGAGGTAGAAACAGCTGCACCTGTACCGATATAGTTTTCAAACTGCTGGAGGTAGAAACAGCTGCACCTGTACCGATGTAGTGTTCAAACTGCTGGAGGTAGAAACAGCTGCACCTGTACCGATATAATGTGCAAACTGATGGAGGTAGAAACAGCTGCACCTGTCCCGATATAGTTTTCAAACTGATGGAGGTAGATATAGCTGCACCTGTTCCGGTATAGTTTTCAAACTGATGGAGGTAGAAACAGCTGCACCTGTACCGATGTAGTCTTCAAACTGATGGAGGTGGAAACAGCTGCACCTGTACTGATATAGTCTTCAAACTGATGGAGGTAGAAACAGCTGCACCTGTACCGATATAATGTGCAAACTGATGGAGGTAGAAACAGCTGCACCTGTACCGATGTAGTGTTCAAACTGATGGAGGTAGAAACAGCTGCACCTGTACCGATATAGTTTTCAAACTGCTGGAGGTAGAAACAGCTGCACCTGTACCAATGTAGTGTTCAAACTGCTGGAGGTAGAAACAGCTGCACCTGTACCGATATAGTTTTCAAACTGCTGGAGGTAGAAACAGCTGCACCTGTACCGATATAATGTGCAAACTGATGGAGGTAGAAACAGCTGCACCTGTACCGATATAGTTTTCAAACTGATGGAGGTAGAAACAGCTGCACCTGTACCAATGTAGTGTTCAAACTGATGGAGGTAGAAACAGCTGCACCTGTACCGATGTAGTGTTCAAACTGATGGAGGTAGAAACAGCTGCACCTGTACCGATATAGTTTTCAAACTGATGGAGGTAGAAACAGCTGCACCTGTACCAATGTAGTGTTCAAACTGCTGGAGGTAGAAACAGCTGCACCTGTACCGATATAGTTTTCAAACTGCTGGAGGTAGAAACAGCTGCACCTGTACCGATATAGTTTTCAAACTGCTGGAGGTAGAAACAGCTGCACCTGTACCGATATAGTTTTCAAACTGCTGGAGGTAGAAACAGCTGCACCTGTACCGATATAGTTTTCAAACTGCTGGAGGTAGAAACAGCTGCACCTGTACCAATATAGTGTTCAAACTGATGGAGGTAGAAACAGCTGCAGTTACAAGGGACCATCAATATTCTATTATTGTACACTGTATAGCACCTGTATAGAACCCTGTCATACTCGTGTAATCTGAAGTCTGTAGCAGCAGGGCTGGTGTGAAATGTAGTGCTGTACATGTGGATCAAGATTTGACCATCCAATCCCCAAGAAGGTTTCAGCTTGAACCAAAGGGTTTACTGTCTTACTTGTTAAAGTTTGCTGCAGGTGGAGTTGATGTGGTTTGACTGTACCAGGTGTTTATTTCCAGGGATCTTGGTGGAGTGGCGGTACCAAACGAGTGGAGTGGTGACATGAGTGTTACCTACATGACTGGCCCAGGCTACATCGGAACCAGGCAGGAGAGGTGGGTCACATCACCTGAAAATAGTGGACACTGCTTATACCACACATGACAGTTCACACCTGTAGATAGCTGCCCCTGTTTATACTAGGCATGTCAGGTGTGTAGATAGTGGACACTGTTTATACCAGACATGACAGTTAACACCTGTAGATAGTTGCCCCTGTTTATACCAGACATGACAGTTCCTCCCTGTAGATAGTTGCCCCTGTTTATACCAGACATGACAGTTCCTACCTGTAGATAGTTGCCCCTGTTTATACCAGGCATGTCAGGTGTGTAGACAGTGGACACTGTTTATACCAGACATGACAGTTAACACCTGTAGATAGTTGCCCGTTTATACCAGACTTGACAGTTCCTCCCTGTAGATAGTTGCCTCTGTTTATACCAGACATGACAGTTCCTACCTGTAGATAGTTGCCCCTGTTTATACCAGGCATGTCAGGTGTGTAGACAGTGGACACTGTTTATACCAGACATGACAGTTAACACCTGTAGATAGTTGCCCGTTTATACCAGACATGACAGCTCCTACCTGTAGATAGTTGCCCCTGTTTATACCAGACATGACAGTTCCTCCCTGTAGATAGTTGCCCCTGTTTATACCAGACATGACAGTTCACACCTGTAGATAGTTGCCCGTTTATACCAGACATGACAGTTCCTACCTGTAGATAGTTGCCCCTGTTTAAACCAGACATGACAGTTCCTCCCTGTAGATAGTTGCCCCTGTTTATACCAGACATGACAGGTGTGTAGATAGTGGACACTGTTTATACCAGACATGACAGTTCATACCTGTAGATAGTTGCCCCTGTTTATACTATACATGACAATTACAAGGGACCAGTAATAGTCTACCTGTAGATAGTTGCCCCTGTTTACACCAGACATGACAGTTCATACCTGTAGATAGTTGCCCCTGTTTACACCAGACATGACAGTTAACACCTGTAGATAGTTGCCCCTGTTTACACCAGACATGACAGTTCCTACCTGTAGATAGTTGCCCCTGTTTACACCAGACATGAAAGTTCATACCTGTAGATAGTTGACACTGCTTATACCAGATATGACAGTTCATACCTGTAGATAGTGGACACTGCTTATACCAGACATGACAGTTCCTACCTGTAGATAGTTGCCCCTGTTTACACCAGACATGACAGTTCCTACCTGTAGATAGTTGCCCCTGTTTACACCAGACATGACAGTTCCTACCTGTAGATAGTTGTCGCTGTTTATACCAGAAACAACAGTTCCTACCTGTATATAGTTGCCCCTGTTTATACCAGACATGACAGTTCCTACCTGTAGATAGTTGCCCCTGTTTATACCAGATATGTCAGTTGTGTAGATAGTGGACACTGCTTATTCCAGACATGACAGTTCCTACCTGTAGATAGTTGCCCCTGTTTATACCAGAAACGACAGTTCCTACCTGTAGATAATTGCCCCTGTTTATACCAGACATGCCAGGTCACACCTGTAGATAGTTGCCCCTGTTTATACCAGATATGTCAGGTGTGTAGATAGTGGACACTGCTTATACCGGACCTGACAGGTCACACCTGTAGATATTTGACCCTGTTTATACCAGACATGACAGTTCATACCTGTACATAGTTGCCACTGTTTATACCAGACATGTCAGGTGTGTAGATAGTGGACACTGCTTATACCGGACCTGACAGGTCACACCTGTAGATAGTTGCCCCTGTTTATACCGGACATGACAGGTCACACCTGTAGATAGTTGCCCCTGACATGTCAGGTGTGAGGTTAGTGGACAACAGTTTCAGTGCCGTCCAATGGACTCACGGTGCAGGTGAGATGCAGGTAACAACGTCCTCATCGTTGTTTCAGTAAGGTGAACTTGATCGTCAACAACGTCCTGGACATGAGGGAAGTCACCAACATCATCGGGACGTTCAAGGGCAAGTATGAGGAAGGTGAGATGACCAAGGACATCCCTGACAGTTCTCCACTACACCACATTGTAACACTACCCTCGAAATTTGGCTTGTTTTCTCCATTGTTGTTTGATGCAGCGCTTGGATCACGTGGTCCTGTGCACAGCGCTTGGATCACATGGCACGTGGTCCTGTGCACAGCGCTTGGATCACGTGGCACGTGGTCCTGTGCACAGCGCTTGGATCACGTGGCACGTGGCACGTGGTCCTCTGCACAGCGCATAGATCACAAATCAGGTGAAGTTAAGCACCATCGGTCTCATAGAGTAGTTGGATGGGTGACCACGTTAAGCAACTAGACTCCTGAGAGTTTCTAGGGCTTCGGTCCTGCCCCACACCGAAGCACATGTACCACAAGTAGGCAAGTGACTTCGTTCGAAATGTGCCTCTGTTCACCCAGCAGTGAGTGGGTACCCGGTAGGATGAGATGGTAATGTGGCTGTTAACCTTCTAGCGCCTCACAGGCAGCTTGGGTTGTATACTCCCCAGGGAGATGAGAATGAAAATCGAGTGCTCACTGATCCATTGACTGGGGTAATAATAGTGTACCGCTTTGAGCATCTGCTTGGTGAATGGAATCTGGCGCAATATAAATGCAATTATTATTATTATTATTCCGGCAGTATTAGGGACACCTGTCCATGGAGCATGTACAAGCCAGTAGGGGTTGATACTGTGTGCAATATCCCACACAGGCAGGGTACATGGAGTCACTGCGACTGACCACTAGATCTGTTTAAATGGCTTGTGGTGACCATGTGGTGACTGTATGGTGACTGTGTGGTGACTGTATGGTGACTGTTGTCAGATCACTACATCCTGGTGGGAGCTCACATCGACACATGGACAATGGGGGCCGTGGATGCAGGCTCCGGGTTCGCAGTGCTCATGGAGCTGGTCAGAGTGTACTCGTTCCAGGTCAAAAACGGTCAGTCCAGAGTTGTATTCTGTCATCACTGTGTTCCATGTAAATTTACATGTGGTCTGAATTTACTCAAGGCTGAAACAGAAAAAAAACCTCTGTAGCTAAGGATGTCTTTACAAGGCGCCATTCACCCTCTGTAGCTAAGGATGTCTTTACAAGGCGCCATTCACCCTCTGTAGCTAAGGATGTCTTTACAAGGCACCATTCACCCTGTGTAACTAAGGATGTCTTTACAAGGCACCATTCACCCTGTGTAACTAAGGATGTCTTTACAAGGCACCATTCACCCTGTGTAACTAAGGATGTCTTTACAAGGCACCATTCACCCTGTGTAATTAAGGATGTCATTACAGGGCACCATTCACCCTGTGTAACTAAGGATGTCTTTACAAGGCACCATTCACCCTTGTAACTTAGGATGTCTCTATAAGGCACTATTCGGCCCTTGTAACAAAGAATGTCTCTATAAGGCAGTATTCGGCCCTTGTAACTAAAGATGTCACTATATGGCACTATTCGCCCCTTGTAACTAAGGATGTCTCTATAAGGCACTATTCGCCCCTTGTAAATATGGATGTCTCTGTAAGGCACTATTCGCCCCTTGTAACTAAGGATGTCTCTATAAGGCAGTATTCGCCCCTTGTAACTAAGGATGTCTCTATAAGGCAGTATTCGCCCCTTGTAACTAAGGATGTCTCTATAAGGTAGTATTCGCCCCTTGTAAGTATGGATGTCTCTATAAGGCACTATTCGCCCCTTGTAACTAAGGATGTCTCTATAAGGCACTATTCGCCCCTTGTAACTAAGGATGTCTCTATAAGGCAGTATTCGCCCCTTGTAAATATGGATGTCTCTGTAAGGCACTATTCGCCCCTTGTAACTAAGGATGTCTCTATAAGGCACTATTCGCCCCTTGTAACTAAGGATGTCTCTATAAGGCAGTATTCGCCCCTTGTAACTAAGGATGTCTCTATAAGGCACTATTCGCCCCTTGTAACTAAGGATGTCTCTATAAGGCAGTATTCGCCCCTTGTAAATATGGATGTCTCTGGATTTCAGGCTGGCAGCCCAGGAGAAGTGTTATCTTTGCTGTCTGGGATGCCTCCAAATATGGTCATATAGGTGCATATGAGTGGGTGCAGGTAAGCCTACCACACTCCATGTCTCCTGGGTAGATAAGGTCCACAGAATGCAGAATCCAGGGTAGATAAATTCTCCAGAATGCAGAACCCACGGTAGATAAGGTCCCCAGAATGCAGGACCCAGTGCTTGTCTCGTCCTGGCCATTCCTGGGTAGACGTGGACTCAGTAGAATGCAGAACCCAGTGTAGATTAGGTCCTCAGAATGCAGAACCCAGGATAGATAAAGTGCCCAGAATGCAGAACACAGGGTAGAAAAGGTTCCCAGAATGCAGAACCCAGGGTAGATAAAGTCCAAGAATGCAGAATCCAGGGTGGATAAGGTCCCCAGAATGCAGAATCCAGGGTAGATAAGGTTCCCAGAATGCAGAACCCAGGGTAGATAAAGTCCAAGAATGCAGAATCCAGGGTAGATAAAGTCCCAGAATGCAGAACCCAGGATAGATAAGGTCTCCAGAATGCAGAACCCAGGGTAGACAAGGTCCCCAGAATGCAGAACCCAGGGTAGACAAGGTCTCCAGAATGCAGAACCCAGGGTAGACAAGGTCTCCAGAATGCAGAACCCAGGGTAGATAAGGTCTCCAGAATGCAGAACCCAGGGTAGATAGGTCCCAAGAATGCAGAATCCAGGGTAGATAAAGTCCCAAGAATGCAGAACCCAGGGTAGACAAGGTGCCCAGAATGCAGAATCCAGGGTAGACAAGGTCCCCAGAATGCAGAACCCAGGGTAGACAAGGTCCCAAGAATGCAGAACCCAGGGTAGAAAAGGTTCCAAGAATGCAGAATTCGGAGTAGATAAAGTCCAAGAATGCAGAATCAAGGGTGGATAAGGTCCCCAGAATGCAGAATCCAGGGTAGATAAGGTTCCCAGAATGCAGAACCCAGGTTAGATAAGGTTCCCAGAATGCAGAACTCAGGGTAGATAAAGTCCAAGAATGCAGAATCCAGGGTCGATAAGGTCCCCAGAAAGCAGAATCAAGCGTAGATAAGGTTCCCAGAATGCAGAACCCAGGGTGGATAAGATTCCCAAAATGCAGAACTCAGGGTAGATAAAGTCCAAGAATTCAGACTCCAGGGTGGATAAGGTCCCCAGAATGCAGAATCCAGGGTAGATAAGGTTCCCAGAATGCAGAACCCAGGGTAGATAAGGTCCCCAGAATACAGAATTCAGGTTAGATACGGTCCCCAGATTGCAGAACCCAGGGTTGATAAGGTCCCCAGAATGCAGAATTCAGGGTAGATAAGGTCCCCAGAATGCAGAATTCAGGGTGGACAAGGCCCCCAGAATGCAGAACCCAGGGTAGATAAGGTCCCCAGAATGCAGAACCCAGGGTAGATAAGGTCCCCAGAATACAGAATTCAGGGTAGATAAGGTCCCAAGAATGCAGAACCCAGGGTAGATAAGGTCCCCAGAATACAGAATTCAGGGTAGATAAGGTCCCAAGAATGCAGAACCCAGGGTAGATAAGGTCCCCAGAATACAGAATTCAGGGTAGATAAGGTCCCAAGAATGCAGAACCCAGGGTTGATAAGGTCCCCAGAATGCAGAACTCAGGGTGGACAAGGCCCCCAGAATGCAGAACCCAGGGTAGATAAGGTCCCCAGAATACAGAATTCAGGGTAGATAAGGTCCCAAGAATGCAGAACCCAGGGTAGATAAGGTCCCCAGAATGCAGAACCCAGGGGAAGATAAAGTCCAAGAATGCAGAATCCAGTGCTTGTCTCATCCTGGCCATTCCTGGGTAGATAAGGTCCCAAGAATGTCAGTGCTTGTCTTGCCATGAAAAAATTCAACATAAAAATGGAGGGAAGGTGAACAAAATATGATACGGATCAATTCACTCCCCTCCCCAGATAATCACTGCAACAGTGGCATTGCTGACAGGAATAGAAGCACAGTCACTGCCACAATCCCTAAAATCTTCAATAGGAGCTGGCAGAAGTTCTGCAAGGGTGTCTGACAGGAGTTCTCTCCCTTATCACACACGCCTGATCCCTGAACCTGGGTCTGCCCTTACAAAGTAATATTTTCCAGTACCAGTAGTTGTGGGTGCTTAGCGATCGTGTTGGGAGTAGGGGCTTCATTCCTTTGTTTTCGAGAGATTAGTTTAATAAACTGGAGAAGCCTGTGAGTAAGTGATGGTCATTCAATGTGTTCATAGTATGATAGTTTATTTAATTCAATTGGATTAACATAAAATAGTGGTGTAAAGGGGGTTATAAAAGTTGGTATATTTTTACTGACTGACATTTTCATCATGAGTTTTAAACAAAAACGCCATTATTACGATGCTGAATTCAAACTGCGAGTCTTCGCTCTAGCTGATATATTTTCTCACGGGTTCATAATTCTATATACACCGACTCACAAAATGGCGCTTGGTTGTTGATGGCAACATATAACGATCATTATGAGATTAAAAATACCCACGAGAAACAGCTTCCCACATTATGAAAGTGGATGACTGGTTTGTTAAATCTTTATTACAAATAATAATGACTTTTTCAATATAATTACAACGTTTTTCATCTTATATTTTTGAATATCTGCGAGTACCGGCACATGTCTTTCAGTCCGACTTCGCAGTGTTTTTTGTCTTTCAATTCCTGATTCGGCTTTTCTGCGGGTCATATCATTTTCTTTCGTATTTCAATGGTCAAATTAGCACCTCGGCTTATCTACGGGGTCGGCTTATCCGCGGTCATATACGGTATGCTCTGAAAGTGTTTCCGAATATCATGTTTAGCAATACGACTGGAAACCCTCCTCCATGACAATTCCTGAACCAACCTTTTGGCTTGTGACAATTTCATGAATGTTGTTTTTGTGTCTGTTATATAACAGTATGTCTTGACATTGTCAGGAATACGAGAAGCAGCTAGGATATGGCGCCGTCACCTACATCAACCTGGACTCTGCTGTACGAGGTAACAACACCCTGCAATCTGTCCACTATTACTTCTAGTCAGTGCCGTGATACGACCTGTGAAGATCCGGGGTAGAATAGGTCTTCAGCAACCCATGCTAGCCGCAAAAGGAGACTATGCTTGTCGTAAGGCGACTTACAGGATCGAGTGGTCAGGCTCGCTGACTTGGTTGATGCATGTCATCGATCTCAATTGCGTGGATTGATGCTCATGATATCAATCACTGGATTGTCTGGTCCAGAATAGATTCTTTTGTACCGCCGTCATATAGCTTGAATATTGCTGTGTGCTGCGTTAAACAACAAACCAGTGTTGTGATACAATCCAAGGAACCCTGAGGCTGATTCAGGCTACTTTTGTCAAGACAACCAAATTTGGTGTAGGAAGATCAATATCACTGAGTTCAACTTTTCCTAAACACTCACCATTATCATTGATTTGGGTGCTCAAAGTAAATTGTTTTGGTCGATCATTCTATATTGTCTTGCTGTATAGATGACAATATGCAAAAGGGTGAGTGAGTGAGTGAGTATGGTTTTACGCTGCTTTTAGCAAGATTCCAGCAATATCATGTCGGGGGACACCAGAAATGGGCTTCACACATTGTACCCATGACAGGGATCGAACCCGGGTCTTCGGCGTGACGAGCAAACGCTTTAACCACGAGGCTACCTGACCTCCTCCCAATACGGCAAGAGGCAAAATAGAACAAACATATTTTTTTCATATTTAAAAAAAAAAAATGTTTAAATATTTTTTTTCTTTTTTTTTTCTAAATAAAATAGCAACTTTTTTGTTCACTTTCGCAAAACTTTGTTTATGCTGTTCTGTGGACAAGAAATTATGCTGGTCTTGGAAATATTTGTGTAAACCATTATTGCATGCTTTGTACTGTATGTTTTAAGATAGGTCATACAATGTGATCACTATTTAGGCAACTACAGCTTCTATGCTGAGGCAAGCCCACTGCTGTATGACGTCATCTACGATGCCACGATGACCGTATCACTGGACGGAACACCTGTCTACAATTCCTGGAAGACCCTACTGCCGGGCATCAAGGACAAGAATAGGCCACTGTGAGTTGGGTGTTAATTCATTTGAATTGTTCAGACAAATAAAGTGTAAAACAGACATGATATTTAGAATAGCACCACTCTCCTACCCAGATGCGCAAAATCCATGCAGCCAGCAAAGTACCTCTGCCACAGGCCAGCGACATGTGACGATTCGTTACATCTTACACAGTCCATTCAAGCTATTGTATATATTTTGTATCAGTCCATTCAAGATATTGCAAATGTTTTTCATCTGTTTCATTTTTGACAAGTCTACATATCTAGATAGAATGGTTAACTTTCATTGAGAAAATATCCTAAATCGTAAATACTATTTCCATTTGCGTAGTTATCCTATGTTTACATTGGTTGTACGGCTCCACGTGCTGTCATCGAAGCCCTACGGAGAGCTAGCGATACGGTCACTGTGATGTGTATATATGTATTGTCATGCAACTCACTATCACAGTTCTAGTAGCATATTTATATAATTATGCAAAAAAAGATGTAAGGGCCCCTAAGTACTTGCATTAGTTCTTTCTATTCTGTTTCTAAAAAGCTTGTTTGTTTACAAACAAGAGAAAAGGCCGGTCACGTGATATGCAAATTAGCCGATGGCAGTGGTGGTATGCTTTGTCACCATGGTGCCAGAGTGAGGAAAAACACCAGCCTCATAAAAGTACAAATAATGTCCAAGTATTCCTACAGTGGGAGCAGATTGGCACATTCACCTTTAAGTACCAAGTTGTTATAAAATATCAGAAAAGGGATGAGAGTGCTCTTGGAGGAGTCTTGATATTGTGTTAAGATTTCGTGTCTTGCAGACAAATTATTCCTTGCTCAAATGGGATATTTGCTGATGTGGAGTAATTCTTCCTTATAACAGAGTGTATGTATGCTTCAGGGACTACTTGCACAAAGCGATCTTAGCGCTAAGATGATCGTAACTCCCATACTTTAACATAGGCTTACAATAGTCGTAGCGCTAAGATCGCTTTGTGCAAATGGGTCCAGGTGTTAATCAATTGTTATATTTCACAGTATTAATGACCTCGTCGGAGACAGTGATGCATCACCCTTTGCATACCACGTTGGCGTGCCCAGCATAGCTCCGGCATTTACCTATAACATTAAGGTAATATATGTACTGATGTATAGATTAGGCCAGGCATTTTATATTTTTCCGATTATGGACCCGTCTATGTTAAAAAAAATAAATCAGATTTCCATATTTCTTTTCCCCACCGATAGCCACGTAGTCAGTTATTTTATTTGTTATCATCACCTTTTAGTAAAAAATATATGAATTTACCTTTGTAAATTTGTAAAGAGATACGTAATTGATTTTGGTGATCTTGAAGCTGAACATGAATAGCCTCCCTTGACAATTGTCCGTGCTGTAAGTGGTAGAATTGTTATTGTTACAAGGAGCTTTATCGTCACAAATGGCGGTCTTTTAACAAAAATGCATCTGGCTTTTTTTTTGGCTTTTTTTTCCCCCTCCACCAATCCTGGACTTTGGGCTTAAAAATTCCGTAATCCTAAAAATAAAAAATCCTGGCTTTATGTAGCATAATTTATCCTGGGAATAATCATAGCCCTAAACCCACAAGAAATCTGTTATGTGAAGGTATATATTCAGCATAGCTCCATCCTTCACCAATGTGTTTCCTGGTTTTGTATAATTCCTGAGAACTATTCTGTCGTGACACTGTACTTACATCGTGATTGTCGGTAGAAGTACAAACACTCCTTTCTCCTCGGTCACCTTGTTTTGTTTTCCATTTATTTACCTCTAGTGACATCATCCTATTGTTCTCCAGTCGGGTTAAATCTTATAAACAGGGATGTTGTAATATCCCCGGGAATTTATATAACCCCCCATGGTTTTATTCATATAACTTCCATTTATATCGTAACATATGAATGTCTCTTGCTAGAAATTTATTTTGCATTTTAACACAATGTAACATCATGTAAAGTCAAATGAAAAATGTTTTCTTTATATTCCCGTGCATCGAACATGCAATCTTTGTTTCTGTTGCCCAGTGAGTTTACCACCATCTTCCCGAGGCAAGAGAGTTAACTGACTTTAAAAGTCCAGTTTCCACCCTTGCCGAACTAGATAGACACAATTTTATGGATAACAACTTCTTTAATACTGTATTAAAGAAGTTGTTATCCATAAAATTGTGTCTATCTTGTCATCCGTCAACTTCTAAGTAATGCCTATCAAACAACTTGCCAAACTAGGCTGGAATTACTGGGCTCGATCGTAGCGCCTCCAGTGGCTATTACCAGTTATGTCCCTTCTAAGCCTCTCCTATGGACCAATCAAATTCCACCTCTCGTATCACTTGCGTTTGCTTCACACAAAATGGTGGTGCCCAGTCAAGACGATCTGATAGATAATCAAGATCTATATTGTGATAAAACGGGTCTTACATCGCAAAATGCATCAAATCACATGAGCACCTTGATTAAAAGCATGAAAAGATTTGGAAAATATCTGCTGACAACCAGTTGGCGGTGCGCATGTTTTGCAAATCCTGCAATCGACCGAAATCTGTACAACAGTTTATGAAACGGATTTCGATTTCGGTGAGCGATTTTGATTGGACTATGCATGGACTCTATAGTCCAGCCAAAATGTAACTCCATAATACCAGCCTAGTTCGGCAAGGGTGGAAACTGTACTTTTATAGTCAGTTAACTCTCTTGCCTCGGGAAGATAGTTTACCACAAGGCTACAGGCGCATTGATAAATCACAATGCTTTTAAGAATGTCTTTTTCAAGTACACGTATGCCAGCAATGAATATTTCGCGCCCGTTTCACGTCCCTTGGTTTTATCATAGAAACCATCTGACATGTTTTATCATACACATAAACACTCACTGCTTTTGTAATTCCTGCTGTAGACACACCCAAACCTGCCAACGTATCCAGCCTACAGCACCCTGGAGGATGACAGCGAGTACCTGCAGACTCTCATCGACCCTGACTTTAAGCTGCACATCACGCTGACACAGATCGTGACTGACCTACTTCTGAGGCTGTCCGACAGCGCCATCCTGCCCTTCAACGTCAGCAACTACGCGCTCATATTCAGGAAGGGCAAAATGGAGCTTGATAAGTACCTGGTAGACATCCATGATGCCAGGATTAAAATCGGTATGTTGTCACGGCCAGACTTGATTGTGGTTTGTAGTGTATTGTTGAAACTTTGAGGAAGGTATGCAGAATATGTGGTTTTCTTGTCAAATAACATCTTTATCTCTTTGAGTGAGCCGACAAAATTTACATTTTCACTAGTTACACAAACAGGATTTGTTTGAATCTTTTTCGATGTTTTGGATAAAGGGGACATGCATTTGCTGATAAATGCTTTATATAGTTATGACCCATGAAGATCCAGGGTAGAATAGGTCTTCAGCAACACATGCAACCATACTTGTCATAAGAGGCGACTAACGGGATTGGGTGATCAGGCTCGCTGACTTGGTTGATCCATGTCATCGATCCCAAATGTGTGGATTGATGCTCATGATGTCAATCACTGGATTGTCTGGTCCAGACTCGATTATTTACAGACCGCCATCATATAGCTAGAATATTGCGGAGTGCGGCTATTACAAACAAATAAACATATAGTTATCAATGACTTTATGAGAATAATTGTTTAGGAGTATAGAGCTGAAATGTGGTTGATGCAATACTAAGTGTTTATTGATGACGTGCTCATTATTTTGTTGAAATGTAGTTTCAACTTTATATGCCTATGAATAAATATTTGAAGTGACAATCAGTGTAGATTGTGTGAGTAGCAGATAATCCAATTTGTCTCCGATGTCTTCATGACTAGTCATTGGTGTGAACATTTGACATATTTAATTCAGTGAGTGAGTGAGTTGGGTTTTACGCCGCTTTTAACAGTATTCCAGTTATATCACGGTGTGTCAGCTTAATGTGGGAGGAAAGCCCGAAGTGATGCAGGTCTCAGATGTTTACCACTTCGGTGAAACCCACGAGCACGGGTATGGTGCTGACAAACCTAGAAACATAAGCGGGGCGAACCGGGATTCGAACCCACAATCATAAGTTTCTGGCGTGCCCAAGGGACGCAACTCTGCACAGCGAATCGCTATTTAATTCAGACCACATCAGTGTAATAGACTGCTGTGTTCTCAATGTCCCCACATTTGTGTCATCGCTGATGTTAAACTCACTCACTCATTTAACCCTTCTTCGTTTCAGACATGCTCTATGCTGGAATTCAAAACTTCACAGATTCTGCAAACATTTTCCATAAACGTTTTACATCGGTTGATAAAACAAAAATAACGTAAGTACTACTTATATTTGAGCTCAATATAAGTTTGGGGTCAGTGCCAGCAAGAGTTGAGCAGTGCCTGTTAACAGAAAGAGTTGAGCAGTGCCTGTCAACAGAAAGAGTTGAGCAGTGCCTGTCAACCCACCCAAGGAAAGTCTGTGACAAGTGTGATGCAGTTCATAGGCTATTCCCCTACTTTTTACAAGCGAGATATGTTTCATGCATGTAATGTAAAGAATGACTTTTCTATTTTCCCTCATGAGCGGAGTCAAATGATTTCTTTGTCTCCAACATATTACTTATCAGAGCATCCAGTGTGTATGAGTGAGTGAGTGAGTTGGGTTTAACACCACTTTTAACAGTATTCCAATTCTATCGGAGCATGTCAGCTTATTGTGGGAAGAAAGCCCGAAGTGATACAGGTCTCAGACGTTTACCACTTCGGTGAAACCCACGAGCACGGGTACAGTGCTGACAAATCTAGAAACATAATCGGGATGAGCAGGGATTCGAACCCACAATCATAGGTTTCTGGCGTGTCCAAGGGGTGCAACTCTGCAAAGTGAATGGTGGTGCCTTAGACAAATGGGCCACCCGTGCCCCTCATCCATTATGGCCAGTGAAAATGTTTTTACTTTCTATTCTAAACCTGTTTGTCTAAGACCTGTTTTCTATGAAACCACTTCTGGATGTTCCATGTTCTATTTCAGGGAATTTGCTTTGCACAAGATGAATGATCAAGTTATACAACTGTCCCGCGCCTTTATATCCCAGCAGGGCTTTCCAGGGCATCCACAATACAGGTAGAGTTGTCTCCCCATACCGGTAGAGTTATCTCCCCATACAGGTAGAGTTGTCTCACAATAAAGGTAGAGTTGTTTCACAATACAGGTAGAGTTGTTTCACAATACAGGTAGATTTGTTTCACAATACAGGTAGAGTTGTTTCACCATACAGGTAGAGTTGTCTCACCATACAGGTAGAGTTGTCTCACAATACGGGTAGAGTTGTCTCACAATACAGGTAGAGTTGTCTCACAATACAGGTAGAGCTGTCTCACAATACAGGTAGAGTTGTCTCACAATACAGGTAGAGTTATCTCACAATACAGTCAGAATTGTCTCACAATACAGGTTGAGTTGTCTCACAATACAGTCAGATTTGTCTCACAATACAGGTAGATTTGTCTCACAATACAGGTAGAGTTGTCTCACAATACAGGTAGAGTTGTCTCACAATACAGTCAGATTTGTCTCACAATACAGGTAGAGTTGTCTCACAATACAGGTAGAGTTATTTCACAATACCGGTAGATTTGTCTCACAATACAGGTAGATTTGTCTCACAATACAGGTAGATTTGTCTCACAATACAGGTAGATTTGTCTCACAATACAGGTAGAGTTGTCTGAGATAAAGTTCAAATAAAACACAGAAAAATTCCTATTGCAATAACATAAAAGAAATAAGTTTTGAGGTTTGGTTAAACTTTGGTTTACTAACTCACTGCAAATGTTTCTTTCAGGAACGTGTTAGTGTCCCCTCACCCCGAGAACCTGAACGATGAGACCGTCTTCCCTGGTTTGATCTGGGGAGCCATTGAGGGTAAAAGGTCCGGCAACTGGGACATGTTCCGACACCAACTGTCAGTGCTACTGGTGTGTTTGAGACAAGCGAGAGACATTTTGACAGAAGATATAATTTCCGCCACGTTGTGAGAGCTCCATGAAGGGAGATAACTTGTGACTATGCAGGGGAGGGTGGTGTATCTTGCCATAGACGCTAGCTGTATATATACCATAACATTCCCTGTACGGTGTGATGTAGTCCTAGACAGGCAGCTTCTTATTGGATTATATCACAGGTGGCATTGGATATCTACAGTTTGGGCATGTGCATGTCAGTGGTGAGCCCTAATCAAGGATATATTTCACCAATCAATGGAAAGGATTCGGAAGTAAGTGATCCTGGACTGTAAAAACAAGAGTACCAAGAGTATGATATATAGATATTGACATTCCCTGATTAAAGTGAGATATCCATGATTTGGGGCCTGTGATACTTCATTATGGCCCTTACTATGGACTGTGTTTCTGTGGAGGGTTGTCCTGGGAGATGGTCCTGATTCCACATTGCAAGCGTTGGTGTTGGCTCTATAAACAAGGACTTTCAGCAGCAATGTTTCAGTATCCTGTAGCTTACATCGGGTGTTAAATATACATGTACTGGGCTGGTGACTCCTACAGATGGTCCCTTGTAAAGGACATTGTATCTATTCATTATTTCCCAACAATGGTTCGGCAACAGTGGACAGAAGATGAGCAGAGGCTGTTTTCAGGGATTTCAGGAGACAGTAGAAATGACAATGTCCAGAGCTTTGGAGATGTTTGTCAAGGTCGAATAAGCAGCTACACAATTTCCAGGCGTCACTGGATGTTCAATGTGATTGACATTTGTGATTCTGTTGGTGCTGATTGGAAGAAGTAACATCTATCAATTTGGATATAAATACTGACCAAGATAATCCCCGATCCCACAACCTCATGCCAAGATGTGTGATGTCAACATTACCTTAACTGTATCAGATGTGTGATGTCAATATTACTTGAGCTGTTTCAGATGTGTGATGTCGACATCACTTGAGCTGTATCAGATGTGTGATGTCGACATCACTTGAGCTGTATCAGATGTGTGATGTCAACATCACTTGAGCTGTATCAGATGTGTGATATCAACATTACTTGAGCTGTGTCAGATTGTTATATCAACATCACTTGAGCTGTATCAGATGTGTGATGTCGACATCACGTAAGTACTAATTGATCTTAAAGTCAAAAGCATCCCTATCCGAGCACATAGTGTGATAGCAAGGTGGACACCAAGCTGTGCTGATATTGTTGGGAAGAACGCATTTCTGTAGATACATCATGAAGTCATTATTTAGACTTTGAAATCATGTAAATACTGATCTGATATTTATATGCGTTTTTGTGATATCAATGTACCTTTAACTGTCCTTTGCATACCATGTTTTTAAGGAAACTGTCAGAATGTTTGTACTTTTCTTTTGTTCGTCGTCAAGTTTTTTGAATCAAGCCTCCCAAAATCCCCCTGACTTCCTGTAGCATCTTCCATAGAACGTTTGTAGCCATGACAGGAAGGAATGCTGTGTTCTACTGCTGTGTTCCTGGAGTGATCTGTCAGATGGAAGCTGTTCATATGTTTACTTCTTGCTCATTGCACTTGAAGCCAGAAAAGCTCTCAGCCAAAATTTTACCAAAGAATGAAACCTTCCAGATTTAGATGTTTGTATTTGTTGTCCATAAGGCCTTCGGAACTGTTTTTATGTACAGATTGTTGACTCTATTGTTGCTCATCGATGTCATGAAGTCCTCTGAAAGGCCCTGGTAATGTAGTCATTGAAGTGTTGGATCCTCAGGGTAAAGAACAGGGTTCTCTGTGTAAGTGTTGGATCCTCAGGCTAAAGAACAGGGTTCACTGTGTAAGTGTTGGATCCTCGGGCTAAAGAACAGGGTTCAATGTGTAAGTGTTGGATCCTCGGGCTAAAGAACAGGGTTCACTGTGTAAGTGTTGGATCCTCGGGCTAAAGAACAGGGTTCAATGTGTAAGTGTTGGATCCTCAGGCTAAAGAACAGGGTTCACTGTGTAGAGCTCATTCCTGGTGTCATCTGCCATGATGGATATTGCTGACAAAGCAGTGGAAAAGTCACTCAGTAAAAATGCCAAGGAATAAAGATGACATTACCAGATGCGAGAAGACACTTCATTTGTCACTGTCATCATATTACTGAATTCAAACTATAAGAAATTTCTTTCTTCGGTGTCTTGTGTTGATTCAGAAGTAGAAAGTATTTGGATTATGTATCCTGCAGCCAAATGTTTCCAATACTGAGTTCTGCATCATCCGCTTGCATCTGCTACCTATGTTCAGTAATGGAAAATTCTCACAAGGCGTTTTCTGTTTCATAATCTGTGAAGTGGTTCATGAAAAAAAGAAGCTGGAAGGAAACATTTAAAGTAAAATATTAAAGAACCTCTTGAGAACCTTGGCTTCATGTGTACCCGGGAGCCTCTTTCAAGTACTAGTGGCCAGTACCTCATCACTGACTATAGGTAGTAGTTGGGCCGATGTTATGTCACTGGTACTGGTGTTCAGGTCCAGTGAAGACTGCACCAGAAACTGGGGTCTCTTGAAGATGTGTGTAGAACCAAAGACAAGAAAGTCGCACATCAAAATGTCTTTCCTTTGAACATGTAGCAGCAGAATTAGACATTCCTGAACAGTGCAAGATCACATGAGTACAACTCGGAAATGACATATCTGCTTGTGACAAAATCTTTTAAGATCTCTCGAGGTTCATTTCCAACACCACTGTACATCAGCATTGTGAACCAATTCCAAGATGAGATTTTTTGAAAGAATGCCTGCTATATTACAATCTGCTAAATGAGAACTTACTTTTTCCCACTTTTATGTCATTCATAAATTTGAACCTGGTGGTGTCTGTCGATATTGTGTCTGTGAATAAGATCTGTCCATGTCCATGAATTTCAACATAATCAATCACGTCACATAATCTTGCTTCTTAGCAGGTTGACCTGAACACTGACTACTGACATCGGAGTATCAAACAAAGAAGGAAGAATATTGTCACATTTTATCAAATAAATGTAAAAAAATGATTGAAAAAAAAAAAAAAAAAAAAAAAGAATATTAAAAGATGTCATAATAAAGATACCATGTCCAGATCAATGTTCGTTCAAATTACGTTTTCAGCTCCTTGGGGAGTATAAACCCAGGCTGCCTGATAGACATAGATATTCTGATCCTGCTCTCTAAGAGTTTGTAAGTGAAAGGAAACCTGAAGTCAGTTATATGAGTACCTCTTAACACGACCTGCATTGGTTCATGTACATCCAGGGTGCACAGGTGGTCCAGTCATCTAAGGCGCCGCGATTCGCTGTGCAGAGGGACGCCAGAAACCTATGATTGTGGGTTCGAATCCTGGTTCGCCTCGATTATGTTTCTAGGTTTGTCACCACCATACTCGTGCTCGTGGGTTTCTCCGAAGTGGTAAACGTCTATATAACTGCGGTATAACTGGAATACTGTTAAAAGCGACGTTAAACCCAACTCACTCAGTCAGTCATTCATGTACACTCATGTATTCCATTCCAGTCTGTTGGCTGCAATACAAGAATGTCATCGAAGTCATCGGTTTCTTTAGTTTCACTGGTAACATTACAACCTTAACATGTACACAATATATGGGAAATAATAATAAAGTGGAGATATGGAGTAATGATGAATATATGCTGTGTAGATATTGACTGTATCATCCCAGATCTGATATATTCAATTGTGATTGGTTGTTTTTAATTCCACCATTTATCATGTTCGTTGGCATTGTTTTCACATAGAAATCCAGAACTTGTTCCCGACGCTGTCATCATGCATAATTGTTTACACTAATTTTATCATGCTCTCTCATAGAAGAGCTTATTTGTTATTCTGTTGGATTTTAATTTATAATTTCAGCATGCACTAATCACATCATGACGATGACATCAACCATAACAAAGTGGGATAGATGACTTTTCTTTACCATGACATTCTATTTCCCAATTTCAGCATAATAAAGCGATGTCACAAGATGATTTTTCATGATGTACATTCAACATCTGTAACAAAGAGGTTCTTTCATGAGACCATCACAGGTGTCTCCTGTAACAGGACGTTGCTCTGGTGTCTGCATGACGAGGGGCATGTTCTTAGAGGGATGGTTCTCACGACGTGAGACACGGCGTCATGACAAGAAAGATCGCACTCATGTCTCCTGTAACAGGACGTTGCTCTGGTGTCTGCATGACGTGGGGCATGTTCTTAGAGTGATGGTTCTCACGACGTGAGACACGGCGTCATGACAAGAAAGACCGCACTCATGTCTCCTGTAACAGGACCTCCTTTTGTCATCTGTATAATGTGGATTGTGATCTCGTATTGATATGATGCTTCATCACTCATTCAACATAATTGGGATCAGCAATCATTCTGTCACGTTTGCTGTTATCAAGAAACCTACAGGTGTATATGTTTCTTGCTGTAACCAAGTTCTTCCAACTTTTGTACAAGTCAAGGTGATTGGTCAAGTACATTTTTTTTATATTCATGTAAAGTTAGCTTTTTTGTAAAAAATATTTTGGTTACGTTTAAGCATTTATTTGTGGATAAGGATATTTCTCCTGTGTAAAGTATTAAGAACTTTTGATAATATCTGCTCACATGTGTTAAATTTGTATAGAAATGTTGACTTTTTGTACAATTCATCTCATTTTGGATTATTCTGCAAACAGGTATCAAGTGCCATTCATGTTTTCAAAACATTACTATACACCCAAATAAGGCTTGATCTGATTATTGATCAGACACTTGATGTAAAGTAAACTGTACATCAAATAAGGCTTGATCTGATTATTGATCAGACACTTGATGTAAAGTAAACTGTACACCAAATAAGGCTTGATCTGATTATTGATCAGACACTTGATGTAAAGTAAACTGTACACCAAATAAGGCTTGATCTGATTATTGATCAGACACTTGATGTAAAGTAAACTGTACACCAAATAAGGCTTGATCTGATTATTGATCAGACACTTGATGTAAAGTGAACTGTACACCAAATAAGGCTTGATCTGATTATTGATCAGACACTTGATGTGAAGTGAACTGTACACCAAATAAGGCTTGATCTGATTATTGATCAGACACTTGATGTAAAGTGAACTGTACACCAAATAAGGCTTGATCTGATTCTTGATCAGACACTTGATGTGAAGTGAACTGTACACCAAATAAGGCTTGATCTGATTATTGATCAGACACTTGATGTAAAGTTAACTGTACACCAAATAAGGCTTGATCTGATTATTGATCAGACACTTGATGTAAAGTGAACTGTACACCAAATAAGGCTTGATCTGATTATTGATCAGACACTTGATGTAAAGTGAACTGTACACCAAATAAGGCTTGATCTGATTATTGATCAGACACTTGATGTAAAGTTAACTGTACACCAAATAAGGCTTGATCTGATTATTGATCAGTCACTTGATGTAAAGTTAACTATATACCCAAATGTGGCTATATTTGATAAGTGATCAGATACAATGGATAGAGAAGTTGAGAGACTTGTATATGATACAAATGTATCACATGTCTGCGATACAGTTCTTGATCCTTTTATGTTTAGCAAATGTGATGAGATCTCCCCTCCTGTTTACGTTTTTAGTAATCATGTTTATCTGCCTTCCTTTACTATTGTTGTGGTACTGCCTTTGTGTTTTGTTAGCTTTCAGATGGCTTTTGAAAATAATATTTCTTGCTTTTTTATATGAACAAATTGTGAATAAATATTCTGGTTAGAAAGCTACGTTGTTTCTACTTTAGGATTGTTCTCGTGCTACTGTTAGAGTCAGATGCTTACCCTATCCTCGATCCAGTCATATCATTTTCAAACCTAATTTGTCATTTTGGCCCAATGGAATCAATTTTGTCACATAATGGAGGATGGTTGTTCTCTGGCGTTGACGTTTTATTGACATTGTCTGATTCACATTTTTCAACTCTGCTAGGCAGGCCAGGCATCAATACAGAATGCTCAAGGAAGTATTACCAAGATGATATGGAATCAAGGGCAAAGAAAGCAGTACAAACGTTTCCGCTAATAGATACTCCAAAATACTCCGGGACAACATGTGCCCAGCTCAAACTATCAAGACACAATGCGGGTCCTACTATTTAACGTCCAGGGACGTCCGGGGGCGTCCGGAAACTTCCGAGAGGTTTCATCAGATGTCCGGGTGTTCAATAACACAGTGCAGTCAGTCGTGAGAATATCAACTGGCGTACAAATAAAAAGAATATACAGCCAAATAAAAACAAACAAAAATGAGTACACGTAACAAGGTGAAAAATATTTAATAGGCCGTGAAGGTTTTTATTATCCAACAAAGCGGACGTAATGGAAATTACAGACACATTTGTTTAAAAAATGTTTGTTGTTTAACGCCACACTCGGCAATATTCCTGTATATGACGGCAGTCTAAAAAAATCATGTCTGGACCAGACAATCCAGTTATTGACATCATGAACATCAATCTACGCAACTGAGATACGATGATATGCATCTTACCACAAACATAGTCGCCTCTTACCACAAACAAGGGTTGCTGAAGACCAATTCCAAATACAATAATTAATTATCAATGTTCATCATTTCTATCTGACTTACTTCCTACGTTCCTACAGTACATGGGGGGCACGGGTGGCCCAGTCGTCTAAAACGCGATTCGCTGTGCAGAGTTGCGTCCCTTGGGCACGCCAGAAACATATGATTGTGGGTTCGAATCCCGGTTCGCCCCGATTATGTTTCTAGGTTTGCCAGCACCATACCCGTGCTCGTGGGTTTCACCGAAGTGGTAAACGTCTGAGACCTGCATCACTCCGGGCTTTCCTCCCACATTAAGCTGACACGCCGTGATATAACTGAAATACTGTTAAAAGCGGCGTTAAACCCAACTCACTCACTCCTACAGTACATGATTTTTTTTTTAAATACGACTTTGCGGTTGTAACCCGACCATCCGACGAAACAGTATTGCTTTGTTGACATCTGGGGTATGTCTGTCTGGTCCTGTTGGCATTTTGATGTCCAGCAGGCAGTAGACAATTTGAAGTCTGTCATCCACGGTGTCAGTTGGTAGTTGCCTTGGCCGTAGAGGGCACGGCGCATACTGGATTTGTACATTTGTGTGAATTTTGTCTATTAAATCAGGAATTTTCAATTATTTTCAATTGGTACGTAATTTGATGATGTTCATGCTCTCACGGGCATTGTTAGTCCAATGGAGCGGAACTGATTTTGGTCTTTCCTTTGAAGGCAGGAAAATGTCAGTTTTTTTAATAGTTTTAATGACTTTAGTAAGGTAAGGATAGGAATCGGGAACAGTTGTTGAAACAAGGTCTTCTAGTTCCATTTGGTTCAGTTCGAACTGATAGGAGTCATAATTGCTATTCATCAGTCCGGAGGGCCCAAAACATTTCTGATGAATGAGTCGTATCTGCTGATCTGAAGCGCCAACCTGATGTCTGGGGCCACGCATGAAAACGTCTGTCTTTCAATATTACTTATGAAATAGTATACAGAATATGACACTATAAATGTACATTATTTTTGTTCCATAAGCAACTTTGCATTGTATCCTTCAAAGGCTAAGTTATGACCACCACGTCAGTTCGAATATAATATAATCGTATTTGCTTCGCAGATTCACCATTTAAAATAGTGGTGTATGTATTTTTTTCTAGCTATATGTTATGTTTTATAATTAATACAAGAACACAATTATATAGAATACACTTTATTATTTTGTATCATTCCACTGGACGCTCCCTGACGTTGCCCGGACGCTTCCGGACGCCCCCGGGCGTTGTTTAGTAGGACCAACACATACAAATAATACTAGTTTTGTCAATATCTCTATTTTCATCGTTTTCATTTACAGTTTTATATGATAGATCGAGGTAGGGATGCGGTTAAATTATTCATCCTCTATGCACTTTTCCCTTTTCTTTTTAAAATAGTGTCAATAGATATCTGTTTGTGTAATAATAGAAGAATGTGTGACTCACAGTATCAATTTCGAGTTTATTCTAATTACTTTTTGTACCTGTCAGGTTTACACATAATATTAGATTTGGAGTCAGTCTCTTTATAAATATGGAAGTTGCGCCAGATATTGAAGGTTGGTTTGTTGGTTGGCTTGTTTGTTTGTTGTTTTACGCCGCACTCAGCAATATTCCGGCTATATGACGGCGGTCTGTAAATAATCGAGTCTGGATCGGACAATCTAGTGATTGATATCATGAGCATCGATCAACGTGATTGGGATTGATGACATGCATCAACCAAGTCAGCGAGCCTGACCACCCGATCCCGTTAGTCGCCTCTTACAACAAGCATAGTCGCCTTCTACGGCAAGCATGGGTTGCAGAAGACCTAGTCTACCCCGGATCTTCACGGGCCTCACACGCAGAGGGAGACCGGTCTGGTTGAAATCTCCCATATAGTAAATATAGATAGATCTTTTACAGACGGCCTGAAACTGGTGACGTCAGGGCTGAAACACATGACGTCATTACCTCTGTCTTATAAACTTGGCAGTGGCTCAGTTATCAGTGGTATCAAGTCAAATCTCAGCTTGGCCTGAAAACAGGTGAGAAACGTTTACAATCAAAAGGCCTCTGTTTCACGGACTCGCTTTGACGGATTGGCACTAAAACCATAATTTTCTTTTGTAGGAAGAATGGACTTTTTACTTTTATGGAAAAGAGTTCTGCATTATTTAGAGAAATTATATGCAACGTCACGTGACGTGATGGCGGGCGTGGTCAGAAGTTCAACAGGCAACAGAATGTGAACTAAAACGTATTGACGCCAAACAGAAAAGGAAAATTTAAATTTTTCACAGCCGCTTAAAATACTTACGGGGATCTTGACATAAATTACACTTCCCATGAATGAATGAATGAATGAATTTCTCTATTTCCCTCACAGTTGAATCCGAAGATATTACACAGGCAAATACATTGTTTACAAAACATTATTTAGATGACTTGACAATACAGTAAACTACGGTTATAACGAACACGCTTATAACGAACTGATCGATAAAACGAACAAATTTTTTAGTCGTGTCCATTTGTTGTATATATGCTGTATATCTGCTTATAACGAACAACGGTTATAGCGAACAAAAATTAGTGGTCCCTTTGAGTTCGTTATAACCGTAGTTTACTGTATACAATAAAATCATGTCATACAGTGATATACATGCATACACAATTTACAATGTACAATTTGTGAGCAGTAGGGTATGTGTGTCTAGTAAATATACATAAGGTATTTCTCCACATTACATATAAAGTGCGAGAAAGGCTGTATGGTGTATTCCCAACTTCTGGGTTTTAAAGTGTAGCATAAATATTCTACATAACGTTCGTGGTATTACTGTTGTAATTTGCAAAAGGTTACCATAAAAGTAAGTGAAACATCAAAATATTGAAAAACAGACTCCATGTCCCTTATGGGCCACCGTGTTATCAAGACTGCAGTGGATTACCCATCAGAGTCTCTCGACGATGACCGTAAGGAAGACCAGTAAAATGTTCTCAACTGACTGAGAGGCACATGCGGAATCGTCTGATATGGTGTCGTGCCCGTAAGTCGATGGAACTTGGCCAACCGGAGAAGGATCCATTGGTCTGACGAGTGTCGAATGCTGATACGAACTGTTGATGGTCGAATACGTGTTTGGACCAAGGAACATCCAGAAGACCTTAGCATGTGGCGGGGGGTCTGTCATGATATGGACGACAATGCTAGATCACACAGATCTCGGGCAGTTTGGGCTTATTTGCGTCAAGAAGGTCTCGCCACACTTCCTTGGCCGGCCTGTATTCTGTAACAGTAAGTGAAATATCAAAATATTGAAAAACAGACTCCATGTCCCTTATGGGCCACCGTAGTTATGTAGGATGCAACACGAAAATCCTCATCCGAAAATGGTTTCTCTTACTAATAAATCGAAAGAATTTTCAACACTATCCGTGATTCTTTGGAAACGGACGTAAAATATCTCTGGCTGGCGTATAATAATGTACTTGAAAATGAGATTCTTAAAAGCATTATGATTTATTTAGTGTTTCACTCCCGAGCCTATAGCTACGAAAGTAGCTGGATACATTTAAATGTAAAATCAACAGTATTTCGTGTGTGAAATCGGGGGGAGAGGGTAAACATTAGTACATTTGTCTGTAACAAAGTCATGAAAAGGAGTTGGGAGCATTCATGTGAGAATCGTTGGATTACGCCCTAGGATTTGCTTGTTTGTTTGTTTTTTAACCATGCACTCAACAATATTCCAGCTGTATGACGGTGGTCTGTAAATATTCGAGTCTGGACCAGACAATCCGGTGATTGCTTCAGGATATGAATAATATACACCAACTTTACTTTTACGAATAAATATGGCTATACCCCCTGCGCCTCTTTGAGATGAGTGGCCATGCTGACATTTTACATAGACGTTAACGTCATCATCCACGTCATGGAGTAATGATTCACGCGTGTCGTCTAGCCAGTGTCCTAGCTACTTGGGTATTTGAAGAGGTCATTATGCGACGATGTCGTATTGGCCATAGCAGATACACACATGAATATTTATTTAAAGGTGGGGATCCTCCATTTTGTATCCCTTGTGATGAGAGAATCATCGTCAAGCATGTCCTGCTTGACTGTTGATTTTTCTGTCACAAGGGATAACTATTTCAAATCATCATCAGTCAGGGATCTTTTTAATAATTT